TTATCCAGCATTTTCGCAATTAGTATTGTTCTGTTTGTAAGATATTCACTTAGATGACTAACGGCACTATTTGTATTCATGAATTCATGTTTGCATTGCAAATGTTTGTTAATAAAAAATCTGTGCCCACTATGAAATACATTAGTGTTTAAAAAATTTTTCAGGGTGCTGAATGTGAAGCAGTGGAGCTCCAAAACAAAATAACAGATCATAACTGTGATGCCAAGGACGCAGATTGTATGTCTAATAGGACTAATGTTTAGTAAAGCCGCACCTACACTACGATTATATTTCATATTCCAAAGATCACAAAGATAACTTTGGTGCGGCATGATACATGGACTATAATTAAACATTAATAAACAATACAGAAGCAATAGCGAGACGATAATAAGGCTGAAAACGCTGAGACAAACATTAAAACAGTTCAATTACTGGGAATAATTCTAGCAAAACAAACAGGCATTAAAAATTAAAGTGTAATAGACAAACACAAATTGCTCACTGAAGTCCACGTTTAAATGGATTGAAGTGACAGTGGAGGGAATGAGCTACTTAATAGTGACTGTAGGAAGAATATAAGTTAAGAAACTCATTTAGGCGGCTTGTGCTGGACCAGATGCTCCAGTACCATTTGCCAGATGACACCAATGTGCTCTCGTGGGGTTTCTTATAGATTTCAGTGGAGTGATAAACCAATATGTTGGGCCAAATTCACTTTCTGGAGGGCTGAAGTGCAACTCTGTGATGCTGTAGGTAGGAAAGTGTTCTACAGTGATTCTGTGGGAGCTGTGAAGAGTTCTCGCAGACAGCTTAGCTCTTTTGGGTCTCCTTAGGAAGTGAAGGTAGTGTTTGTAGGTCAGGTGACCAGGTTCTCCAAGCTGGTGATCTTCTCAAAGGCTGACCTGCTGAATGATCCGTCCATTTTCTTCTAAAGCTGATAACCAGTGCTTCAAATTTGTCAGTGGCTATCCATCAGGCATCAAGTAGGTTGACTTAAGAGCCCACATAGAAGTGATGTACAGGTTGGCCGGTAATATCAGCCAGTATTGAAGATGGCATCATTGGTATCAATAATGCACTATATTACCAACCTTTTTGAAAGCGGCATTGCTGGAATTCAAACCTGTGGCCTCCTGGCAAAAGGGCAAATCCTTAGACCAGAGGTCTCAAACTACCAGCCAGACAGTGTTATATGACCCATCACATATTTAAAATTTATTCTGCCCATAAATAACTTTTTATTTCCATTTTTCTGCTAAATATTCACATTTCAAGGGTAGATTTGCTTCACCCACCAGACACGGAGGCTGGTTACCCAGCATAAGCTACATAATTAGTAAGCTAATTGAGCGGGAATTACTGTAATTTAGCCATAACTGCCATAACTCTCTAGCTAGTAACTATATAACTATAGTCGTAGTGGTATTTGACGCTTGAGAAAACCCCTCCCAGTACATCCGAACCCCCTCCCAGAACAACCGAAACTCCTCCCAGTACAACCAAAAACCCTCCCAGTACAACCTAAACTCCTCCCAGTATAACTAAAACCCTCCCAGTACAACTGAAACCCCTCCCGGTACAACCAAAGTGATTGAATGATCTGCGTCTGCGAGGAAGATGATCATGGAGGATGCATATGGTTGGGGACCTGGCGAAAGAAAATGCTTAATAGAAATATGGACAGACAGTACTGTGCTAAACAGGAAGAGGCTAAATGGATAAAAAAAATTGGTAATTGGTTGCTGCGTAACAAGCAGATTTGCATATTCTGTCCCACAGCAGTTGGATTTCAGCCCGACTATCCGGACATGCATCTGGCTGTGAAAATGCATGTGACAATCAGGATACAAGATGTAAATGGGGTCTGAGAATTCCTGCTGTTAATTTCTTCTACTGAAGTATACCATTAAAATCTAAAATCTGCTGATATCAGAAGTCCCTTTAAAAACATTATAGTTATCAGCCACAAAATGTACATTTCTATAAGCTTCTGAGAAGTACAGGATTGATTTTCAGGATGTAACTGGGTGTATTTTGCTCAGTTCAAAGCTGTGTTCAGAATCGCTCCCTATTAAAGAACTAGCACACTATTAAATAATGTGGCAGCTGTTCTGTGTGTTGCGTGAATGCTCAACGATAAATCTTTCGGTTGCTTCCCAGTCAGTTCAGAAAGAAAGCTATGTAGTGAATAGTGAATGAGGTAATGAGAGAACCATCCCAAAAGCAGAGTGCAACTGTGCCAAGTTCGGTCTCTCTGGGATGAGTGATGAAGGCGAAGCTGAAATGTTAAAAAATCTGGACTTAATTTTGTAAAAGACCCAAAATTTGTGCACCAAGGCCTTTCTGATTACCAAAACATTCACTTGCCAATACCCAGTGTGCATCTACACATACTACACCTATTTACTAATTTATTGATCAGATATAATTCAGAACATAATGACGTTTGTCTGAACTGAGAACATCTGCACACTTGAAATGTTGGTGTGAGTAATAAAGGCCCAACATTTGGTACATTTGTTCTCATTTATGGTATGTTGGTAATAGGGACACATCTGGAGTCTGAGTAAGTTAACTCAACCCAAAGTTACAATTGATCTTCCCAGGGTTTACAAAAATAGATACTTCGAAATTATTATAGTACTACAGCCGATCATAATCCTGATGCTCTCCTCATCTTCCTTAACGTCCACTTCATTTTCTCCTCCAATCACTGCTTAGCAACTATCCGCCAGCACTTCAGTGAGTTAGTTCCTTCGATTTTCTACTTTAAATTTGAAGCTACAGATATATGCAAATGATTTGCATGGGGGGTTTGTAAAAGTGAGACCTGATAGAGTAGAGTCAGCCACCCAAGTTAGAGTTGTATTGTCCTGGCCCATAGTGATCTATGCACTGCCTACTTCTGTACATAAAAGTTATTAGAGGTAATATAAATGGAAAAAAGCTCCACGCCCGTTGTGACAGTGTGCTTTAGTTCAGGATGTTTGATGATTTGGGTTTTTAAGTTTGTTGCTTTTTCCGTCTTTATTATGTACATCTCAGCTGTCCGACTTGAATTTGTGTCCACTGAGATGAACATATTGCTTGTTGAAATCAGATGCATGCTTTATTGGGAAATGTTACATTTATTATTGTGTTTATTTTGTGTTTATTATTGTGTTAATTTTGTGTTTTGTGTTTATTTTGTGTTTTGTGTTTATTTTGTGTCTTGCTATTATCTTGTTTCTAAAACAATATGTGATTATTATTATATAGTGGTGACGTGCCCAGCACTGCAGTTAGTGTGCTGCCATTGTGGTGCTGCATAGCCCTCATTGAACCTGGGACCCCGGGGATTTGCTAATTCGTCTACACATGCTGGGTATCTGTATTTGGCCAAATTATAGTGGTCCTAGGACAGCGCCCTGTGGAACACCATCAGTCACATGTACTGTATATGTATGTAAAAGTGTCAAGTATCAATAATTACTTCTCATGGATAGGAAATGTCCATGCATTCATAGCACAGACCGGACAATCACATGCTTCTTCTTGAGCATGTGATTCTCTGATCATTCCATTCCGTTGTAACAGTGTGCTTTAGTTTAGGATGCTTGACGGTTTGGGTTTTTAAGTTTTAAAGTGTTGCTTTTTCCGTCTTTATTATGTACATCTCAGCTGTCCGATTTGAATTTGTGTCTTCACTGAAGTAAATGCATTGCTTGTCAAAAGCAGATGCATACTTTTTTGGGAAATGTTGCATTTATTATTGTGTTTATGTTAACTTGTGCGTCTTGCTATTATCTTGATTGTAAAAAAAAAGATGTGCTTATTATTATATAGCACTGACGTGCCCAGCGCTGTGGTTAGCATGCTGCCACTGTGGTGCTGCATAGCCCTCATGTAACCTGCTGTGACATCGTAAAATTTCCCTGACCTCTAGGGGTGGGCAATATGATGATGCTTTATTGTTATCAAGATAAACTATGTCACAGGGCGCTCTTCTGAGCATATCATGAACGTTGTCAGTACTTAAAGAACACTGACTAACTGCAACGTGAGCACAACTAGGCCTGTTTAAATTTAGTGCAGTGCAGTTTGTAAAACATTGAAAATCATAGTAGTTGTAGGTTTATTATTACTGTAGTATGTTTTATATGCCATTACAGTTATATATTTTATGTATTTTGTCTGTTCCAACTTTCATCTCAGAAAAACTAAATACCATGATGTGCATAACGTATTGTGAAAATGTCTTGATTTATTGCTATATAACATTTTTACCATATCGCCCACCCCACTGACCACCCAAAAAAGGTAGCCACCTAACATTTGTGCCCATGGGCTGATAACTTGATGATCCGGGACTGATTAAACCTAGTCCTGGACTACATAACATTCATTCTCCACTGAAAGGAAAATGTAGTATTAGGAAACCAACCCCATTCTTCATTATTCTCCATTGAGAATATGCCTAATTGATTGTGTTGTGACATTAACCCTGTACTGTAAATCCTGAATTTAGCATGTCAATGTACTGCTTATACTGTAAGATAGTTACTGTATACTGTAAGAAGTTTCAGCAATCTGACATTAGCCCAGGGAATGGAAAGCATACTAATGTGTTGAGCTTAAACACACTCCTTTCAGGACTTGGAAAAGTGTGGAAATTGAAATCCTACAATATAATTATATAGACATGTCCAACATCCGACACAGCTCAAACCATATTTTATGACCTCACACCATATTTAATTACTTAAGAACTTGTCCACACTTTGCTGTTTGAATAGCACAGCCTTTCATAAATTCTTATCAAGATATCATTTCCCATTTTAGGCTTACGAGAAAGATTGCTCTCATTTTTAAGAGAAGCTATACTTTAGCAAGTGAATGCCATTCAATGACAAAATGCTACTGAGTTAAAGCTAACATTCTAGTTCTGTTTCATACATTAGAACGTCTCTGTATTGTGGGTTTCAGTTTCCAACAATGAAATTGTTTCTGTTACAAAATGAAATTCAACTGCAGTCTTTAATTTGGGCATTTCAAATTCATAACAATGAAAGTTCAAACCATGACGTTTCGATGCCAACACAAATATGGCTCTAAAACATTTCATTAAAACTGTAAATACAATTTGATAACTTCTATGCATCCTTGTGTGAGTTATTTTCTACTATGTACAATTCATTTTACAAAAGAAATGACAGATCCTGAGAATTCAGCAAAGTAAAACAGAGACAAAAACAAGCTCTGCTCAGAAAAATAAACATAAAAAGAGAAATCAATTAAATTCAATAAATGAGATGTCTGCTTAAATTCAATTTGTATGAGATTGAATTAATATTTTCTTCTCATAACCTCTTTTAAAACCTTTCCAGTTTGGCTGAACTCAATTTTCTTCTCCTATACATGGTGTTCAAATGACATTCATGCCTCAATTTAGTGCACTTTTGTAGATATCTTCCAGGCAGTGACGGTGGTTTATTTTCTCCATACACACCTCAAGGCCAATACGTTGACATATTTTACCCTGGGATTTGCTAACTCTTCTACACATGCTGGGTATCTGTATTTGAAATTATAGCGGCCCTAAGACAGTGCCCTGTGGAACACCATCAGTCAAATGCACTGTATATGTATGTAAAAAGTGTCAAGTATCAGTAATCACCTCTCATGGATAGGAAATGTCCACGCATTCATAGCAGAGACCGGACAATCACATGCTTCTTCTTGAGCATGTGATTCTCTGATCATTCCATTCATTCAAATACGAAGAAACAGCGATGTGCAAAAGGAAAAGGCGTCCTTCTTGGAGCTGTCAGGCACAGCACGAGTCCTCTCAGAGCACTGCCCTTTCTCAGTCTATCGAGCAGCTCTGTGCACATGGCAATGGGGCTTAGTCAGCCATGTTTAGTCAAGCATTTCGTGCTCTTCTGAACATGTCCCACTTGGAGTCACGTTCTCCGTGACTGAGGCAAGACTGTGGTCCCTGTGGTGTTTTTGGGCAAAGGCGGCGGGCTCCAGTCCGGCTGGTAGAAATGGATGTTGAATGTCCTTGCCCAATTAGCAAAGACGCGCTTCTCTGTGATGAAGCGGTGATGGCTGCCCCGCCGCCCGCGCTCGTGGGAGATGTACATGGCACATTCGTCCGGCCCCAGGGGCTCGTAGTAGTGATACGGGACGGAGGGGCGTTGAGCTTCCCTAAGGAGAAGAAGAAGACAGAGTAAGTTAAGGAAAAGATGTTCCAGCAAAGTTAGCCATACACGAGGAAGTAGATTCCCAGATTCCCAAATTAATCTTGAGCTGAATATCCATGGGCAAGGCAATTAACCTGAATGTGTCTAGAGAATAAGTGGCAATAAGCGGAATAAATTGATTCCATGTAACACAATAAGGCTTCAGAATGGCCTGGGAGAGGTCATGCCTCAGTGGGAAAGCGTAATAAATCATCTCATTTTCTGCTCTTGGTTATTGTTAGACTGGAGTCGGTGTGCAGCAGGGCACCGTTGACACGGGGTGGGTGTTAAATGCTATGGCACAGTGCTTCAAGCAAATAAAATAGATTTTACTCTCATACTCATTATGCGAAAAGATTACATTTATTGTAGTACTTACTTGCAGAAATCTGGAGGCACCATGCCGTAAACGTTGATTCGGTCGCACAGCTCCAGTGCTATGGTCATTGTGAACCATCCCGTACTCAACCAGGAGTTGGATATCTTCCTGAGAGGTAAAGAGAAAGGATGGGGATTCACTGATTGATCAAGATGCTATCATCACATTATGCAAATCTAGAAAAAGAATAATGAAATAATTCCTGGGGGCTGGCGAGTCGGAAAGGCGGCACCACACGAGCCCAACTATCGGCAGCATTTAGGAAGGGTGCCCACCTGACAAGATCGTTTCTATAACAGAGTGTTATCATCAACTGCTCATCAACTCCGCTGTCCTGCCATCTGATACGGAAGCCCTAATGATTTTCTGACAAATAACATAATAACGGAAGAGAAACAAACACCATTAGGGAAGAACAGCGAGGGACGTGATTGATTAGGTGGCGTGATTGCTGGTAAATTACCTCTGCCAACAGAGAGCTGCCCATCTGGCAGCTGTCACATCCATAATCTCCTGTGCATACGTGCCGAGGTGGAATATAGAGCACGCTCGTGCAACGTTACCACTTCTTCCTATCTGTCCTTTTCCAGGAGTTTGGATTTAAGACCTGGTAATTAGCCTCTAGTCTGGCCTCAGGGCGGCTTGACAAAGGTTACCAAGCCTGCTTTGTAAGGGCAGATCATTAGGTAGGAAGATGTTGGCCGGCTCATGCGAGAAGATGAGAAGGTCTTGCCTTTAGCTGTGTTGTAGATGACCTACAATATATCAAACCCCCAGAACTCTCTGTGGTGTGCTGATTGGAGTTTCTCTCTAAAGCTCAGGGTCCTTTAGAAATGCAGAAAAAGGGAGCAACTTGTTCTCGGGTAAGAGTGCCATGGAGACAGGCTTTGTGCTATGGTGAGTCAGCTTCAACAGTACAACCATCAAAATTGTGAACATAACTTTGGTGTGATTGGATTTCAAGAGACCAGTCGCTAGCTATATCAATGGATGTTCTTATATATTTATTTGACTGGGAGATTGGGCGGTTCACTATCTTAAAAAAAAGGACTATCTAAGCTTGGCTGGATTATTTTTTTTAAGTCAATGTTTACAAAATTAACTAATAGCAAAAAGGTAAACGGTTGGGAAAAGTATACTATTAAAGTATGACGTTATGATGGACAGCCAATCAGCTACTTGTTATTATGCAGTTACTATATCGCTGCTCTCAGAACAAAACCTCGTATCTCCAATTTTTGTTTTTTTTCAGTTGTTGACATAAAATGCCTGTTGCCCTTTACATTGGGTTTAAATTTTATGATGAATGGACTGAAAGAAACAGCCCAAAATGGCTTGGAAAAAATCTGGTTCCATTGACTTACATTGAAAGTAAAGTAGGTTTTTTCCTTCTCCTGTAAAGTTACCATTTTGGAGATACAAGGTTTTGTGCCAATTGTGATGTCATCATATTCCCCAGGCCTACAATTTAGCGTACAATCTGAGCTGGAATAACTGAATGGCTAATCTTCAACCCATAATCTGTGAACTTTAAGATGCTTCAAATGTGAGAGCATGTTGCCTCCTCCAGCTCCACAGATCCACACCATGGTTAACTCTCAGGTCCTTGTTTTATTTCCATAGCCTACAGTGAAAGGACAAAGCAAATGGTGCTTCTGAAGGCAGCTGCCTGAGTTGGCAGGACTCATAAGTCCATTCGATTTGAATGGCCAGTCATGCTGAGCCACCGTAAAATGAGCCAGAAAGAGCACTTACAGCAGGGGTGTTGAATTCCAGTCCTGGAAGACTGGACTAGAGCACAATCTGGTGATTTTCCAACTTAAACACAGCTACTAAACCTGGTAGCCGTGCGGAATGGGTGATGACCCTCAGGCTAACCTTTCACCATTTACTCAACTATGTAGTCCAATCATTTACTTATTATCCTACAATTTTAAAAATTGACATGCTAAACTGGGTCTTTGGGGTGATGCACCTTTATACCTCTCAATAAATGGTTCCTTAAAGAACGTTTGTTGTCAATAACAAATGAATAATGATGAACTCTAAATCCATTAAACATTCTTATTTATTTTGTTTTACCTAGAACCAAATGTCCAAATCAAGAGCAATTCGGAAATCTGAGAAATCTTTATTTTTGAGTCTTGCATGAAAATAGAGACACTACCAAGAAAGTGTTGACCCTCTTGTCAGCGATGCCATGGCCACCCTTACAAAAAAGAAATCTATTCAGGTGTGCTATTAGTATACTTCTTTTAAACTATAAAATAAGTAAGTATGCTTTAAATGTACTTTTTATATACTTATCAAAAATATACTAAATAAAATTACACTTGAGTATACTTGGCTTATACTGACAAGCATACAGAAAAGCCTAAGTATATTTGGCCTTATATTTATACTTAATCTTTTGATTGAGATGTACTTAAAAAAGTATAATTAAGTATTCTTGCATAAAGTTTAAGTATACTTGGCTTGTAGTTTGGGATGGAATAGCTCAGAGAAAACAGTACACATGTGAAACTCAACCTGATCTTTTATGTAAATTGTAGAGATGTACAACCTGTTTGTGGGCAGCCAGGGACTGATTTCACATCGTCACGAATTCCATTATCATTTAATGTGTTTTGTTTTGAACTGGAATGTCGATTTGAGTTCTTATGTTCTTATATTTTGGCGTCATATACAATATATGTTTGAAAATTCCGATTTATGTCTAGTGAATTTTGTATGTGTAGTCCACTGGTAGTGTTCATATTAGTAAGTTCAAGTCTACTTAATGTACAAAAAGTACAAAGAAATACTACCAGTTTACTTTAAAGTGCAAAAAAGTAGTAAACTATAAGTATCAATTAATTTAAAGAAAACTTACAAGTATACTTGCAGTGTAAAAACTATTAAACTAGTAGTTTACTAAGAGTATACTTAAGTGTACTTTCATAAACTAAAAAGTGGAAATATATAACTAGTACACTAACAATACTATAAGTTTACTTTTAGTGTAGTACTCAAAGTTTACTACTCTTACACCTAAAATATACTTGAAAGTATACTTTAATAACCTAAAAAGTGGGCAAATTTACTTCCAAGGAGTATTGAAATAGTACACTTAGTACACACAAGTATACTACTAGTACATTTATATCTGTATACCTACTACACAAAGTACACTTGGTAAATATACTCACTTAAGTTTACTTATTAAAATGAACTTTAAGTATACTTGTTTTGTAAGGGCATCCATGACTGGGAGTTCAAGACAGCATAATTGTCCTCGCTTTTATTGGGTGTGTAGGATGGCTAGTCAACATGGGCATCAGAACAGAATTGCTAGTAAGCAGTCTCCTCAAAATTAGCGGCAGTTTGAACAGATGTGGTGGCACTTCATGTATCTCAGAGGAAGCTTGTGCTGGCCTTCACTCCCCCAGCTTGATAGCATCGCATGCATTGGTCAAATGGTAAAAAAATGGAAAGGTTCAACTGACAACCGAGGGGGTGGCGTGTGTTTGGAGTCCTCTCAGATGTGTATTTGGGGAAACACGATACAAGTTTCAACCTCATCCCGTTTCGGACTCCGAGCTATTTTGTGGTTTCTGGGAAGATGCTCAGCTCGCTAACGTAGCCATCTTTCATCTTCAATAAGACTGTAAGACATGAGCTACTCAGCGCCGCTCACTGATCGCAATGCTAGATCATTTACTGGTGCCTCTTGACATGTTAGTCCTTTAATCAGCATTTTATTCCCTCTAACAAAACTGTCCACAGCAATAACCAACAACGTTCAGCATATCAGGCATCACTGCAACACTGCAGCAGTTCTCATTCTGGAGATCTTTTATATTATTTTTTTCTTTTAGTGAAATAAATGTTATGATAATCCCCACAGATTTTAAATTCCAATTTTCAGTTTAATTAACTTCAAAGATATCTCACTGGTTAAAGCTGGTTATCACACTTGTCCACAGATCTTGTTGTATTTTTTAGCTTTCAGCTCTACAATGGGCAAGGTTGCCAGATCCAACAAAAAACCTTCAGCCCAAAGTTTGATGAAAAGCTGACCATCTGTGTGTTCGGGACTGCATTTTCAAACTATCCCACTTTTGTGGGAAAACCATGGACCTGGTAACCCTGACAACAGGTATTCACAAGCTGTACCAAACACTCCAATGAAAAGGAAGGAAAATATGGATTGTCATTCATAGGGGATAAAAAGGGGGGATGGTTGTTTTAGAAGGGGGGTAGTTTCTATCATTTTTTATGACCAGAGGGATGTCATCCCCTCATCACCCCCCCTCAAATTAAGCCCTGATTCTGTGATAAAGGGGAGGCCTAGCAGGTGGAATTGGCTTTGACTTAATTCAGGAGTACAAGTGGGTAAAAACAGAGGAAAACAGACAAAGACAAAAGAGACACTTAAAGTTAAAGGCCTGATTCTGCACTGATTTAAATGTAAGAACCAGGTCACTCTCCACAGAGTAAACACACTGTGTCACCTTCATAACAGGGTGGGATGCCTGACCCCACCAGTCAAAATACCATGTGTAGTCCATGCTGGTAACTATCTGTTAGTTGAATCACACAGACATTTTCTAAACCGCTTATCCTTCTGGGTCGCCTATCCCAGCTAACTGGGCGGAAGGCAGGAAACACCCTGGACAGGTCACCAGTCTATCACAAGGCAGACAAACAGACATATACACTCACACTTTCACCTAGGGGCAATTTAGTATGTCCATTTGACCTGACCGCATGTCTTTGGACTGTGGGAGGAAACCCACACAGAACGGAACTGAACCCAGGCCCTTCTTGATGGGAGGCAACAGTGCTACCCACCATGCCACCGTGACACCCTTATAAATGAAAGAGTGTAATCATAGATAAGTCAACAGGAGACTAAAACAATACATCCTATTATCTAAGTCACTAAAGTATACAGAGAATACAGGAGGAGGGAAATAACCAAGACATACCAATATAAACCAACAACTTCACTCTGCCATAAAATAAGCAGAGTTTAAAGCTTCCACATAACTAAGAAAAGACTGTCACATTGACGTGAACTTATCAGCTGACCCCTTAACTGTGTTACTCTAGCTTTATGAAATACA